ATCCTCACTGCACAGTCGGTTGAAATGTTTCTAGCCCTTGACTTTTTGTTCCTGTACAGAGAGCAATTGTTCTATTTCCTCCCCGAGATCTTACATCTAAAGAATCTGCCTCTCTTCTGTGCACAAGTTAATCACTTTCTCTGTATTGAAGTATCTTCTGAAAAAAACTTTTTGCATGGGGCCCGTCACTGACAAGCCCCTTGCAAGAAGGTTATGGTATGGACGTGGCATTTGGGGACATGGTTTAGTGGTGAACATGGCAGAGCGAGGCTAATGGTTGGACTGGGTGATCTTAGAGGTCTTTTCCACTTTAGTGACTCTATGATTCCATGACAATCATAATTCTGTGTTAGGCAGTAAAACAGCCTGTCACAAAGTTATCAAGCTGTCAGTGCAAACCACCCTTAACTTTGCTGATTTAAGGCCCGTTCTGTTTTCCTCACCATGTGTCAATTCTGTAACATTTCATTCTCAAAATTCTTCATTTTAATTCATTCTTTTAGACACAGATGCTGCAACCTAAGAGATAGGTGTGAACATTCCTGCTGTAGAAGAAAGGGAAATGTCTAGTGCATAGAAAGCTTTGCTCTGTGCTTGTTTTCTGTGCTCAGTGTCATTTACCAGAGAATGTGTCCAGGAATGTCAGAGGCCTATGTGCATGTGAAAAGTCATAGAGAAATGGGTCTGAGCCAGTGAAAGTGTTTTGATTATTGAAAGCTAGTTGGAAAATCTAGTTGAAAAAATGTTGAATCTTGTGGGAGGGATGTGTGAACTTAAGGCCTTTGTCTTCTGGTAAAGCATGAATGAACACTGGCAGCAAAGGCAGTTTTCCTACTGTGTCATGAAAATATCTCTCAAAGGCACTGTGAAACTTAGGTGGCATTAAGAAAGATTTGACATTTGGATCAGTCAAGGTGGCTATTATTGGTTCATAGCCTTTTAGACAAATTTTAGATCATGGATAATACTTTTTATAAGAAAAATGAAATGGAAATCATTAATCCGATTCCAGAGCCAATTTCTGAAGCAGAAAACACCACCACCACCACTGGATGGATATTTGTTAGTTATTCAATTCTTCTTAAATGGTAGCTCTAAGTTATAACAAAAGCTTAGTGTGAACTCTGCTGTTTACAGGTACAAAAATCAGTGTGCACTTGTGCTGTTCTGTACACATGCTGAGTACTGCACTTTCCCACTTGTTGGGTAATTTTTGGAGTAAATGAACATCATTCAGACTCATAGTGACCTCCACCTTTTGGATTATTAGTTGATTATAGTTGGAATAGGATTTCAGTAATAAGTGCTTAGGTCCTTAAGCCTGTAACTTCATAGGTGCTCTAAATGTGCTTCACTTGCCATTGCCTTGAGACTTGTGGCATTTTAAAGTCCCACTCTTCAGCATCAAAGCATGACATTACAAGAAACCTGGTTCTGAAAACAGTAAACTACATCCTTATTCATGTACCTTAAACCAGCTGGTTTTTAAAATTGTTAACTATTCAGGAGCACTCAGTAACTCAAAGTCAGCCCGACTTATATTCAGATGCTGGGAACTGGATTGTAAGAACCTAACTTAGTGACCTCTTAAAAAAAATAAAACCCAGGCTATACATTTTTAAGGCTTAAAACAATCATGAATACTTGATGGTTTTGAATATCTAATTTGTAATCAAGAGCCTTCTTGAAAGTCAGTGGTTAGTAAAAGGATTATGAAATGCTCTTCTCTTTATGGGATAGACATAAATAGATCAAAAAGAAGATATGTTTCAGTGTTTGACGTAGTTTAATTTTTTTTACTCGGTAGTAAAATAGTTGGTAGGTTAGAATTTCAATTGAAAAAATTCCATTGAAACTTTTGCTTTTGAGCCTTAAAAGTTAACAGTCAAAATTCATTCAATGTTTGGATTTTATTCCCCTCCTTAATCTTGCAAATAAAAGCTTCACAACCTGACCATCCCAATGTGAGGTCCTAAATTGCCGTTTGAGCCACAGCAGTGGTATTTACAAAAATATCCATTCTATCCCTGCAATGGTGTCAGGCATGTATTTTTCCAGACTGCCTAGCTTCCCATATAAACTGATATTTAAAAGTTATACAGCCTCCCAGTCCACACAGCAATGTTCCTCGCCCTGGTGTGAATTCTTGCAAGATTTGTACTCATTTGCAGAACAGTTTTGTTTTAAGCAGACCAGAAAGCTAATTACCGTTACTTATTTTTACATTTGCTTTTATGTTTTAAAATGCCTTCATAGAAATGCCAGGCTAAAGCCAGTACTAAGACCTTGGAATAATCCAGTCATGAATTATACATACATGCAGATACAGAAATGGCAAAATTTCTTTTATTCCCTGTCTTGCTTTAGAAACATTTCTCCCTGACAGGACTTGCAGAACAGCCAATACAGCCCTCAACACCCTGGAAGGGGAGTGGGGAAAAATTCTAATTTTATTCTACTTTTTCTGTTTGCATTTCCAAAATCAAACAGTTTCCTAGATAGTCACTAGAACAGCCCACTGTTCTTGATGTTAGCTCTGTAACCCTTAAAGTACTGTAGGTGTTTCTGTTGCCAGTCCTGATAGGGCTAAGGCATCAGATCATTGGCAAGTCCTGCTCTGACTAGTGTCACATGTGTCTATCTTTGTGTTGACTTTGAAATACCTGTTCAAGAGACAGCTACACCCTGGGATCACAAGCTTTTAGAGATCACAAACACATCTTTGCTTGCTTACCATGGCTAACTGGGCTACAAGCTCCACTTGCCATGTGAGGCCAGGGCAGTGCCCAGGTGCTGTCAGTGGATGGGTGCAGGGTGGCTCTTTCTCACAGCCAGCTCCAGTGTAAATGGGAGTAAACTAATCCTCCCCCAGCCAAATCTTTTTTGCCCGTGATAGTAACAGGTGAGGGATCTCCCTTCTTTATCTTGACCATCTTATTTATCTTTTCCATCTTATTTTCTCCCTCACTCTGTTGAAGTGGGGGAGGAAGAGAGTGGCTGGCTGGGGAGCTGGCTACTTGTCTAGCTCAAGCCACCACACTGTGTTGGTTGCCATAATTAACAATCAATTTCTATCTTTTAAGAAGAATGGAGTACCACAGAACAAACAAACTCATGGTTTTTGCCCTGATAGCTTACCTGAGAAGGGAGAGAACAGTTCTTTTGAACTTTAGTTGATAAACCTGGTTTTATTTTTACACAGAACTCCTTTCACACTCTTGAAAGTGCAGTACAAACTACATTAAGTACTTAAGTTTTAGTATGCTTCTAGTAAAATATAAGTAACCTCCTTCAGGTAGTTGAAGAAGATGTCAAATAGGTTCCTAATTTAAAAAAAAGAAAAAAGTATTGATAGACAAAGCACGGAACACTCAGAAAGTCTTTATTATTGTTGGGGTTTTTCTTTGAATTGTATTGAAGTTTATTGTGTCATCTCTTCCATGGTGTGGTGCCTGATTATTTCTGAGATGAGAATACGCAGGATTTCAAAAGTTTGTGAAATGTACTTTTTACTCTCATTTAAGCAGACCATCTATTAAGCAAGCATAGACTGACCTGAAGAATATGCTACAAGGGATAAGTTCCAAGTAGTAGGTGGAAAAACCACTTACTGTTTTCATTTTCATTCTCCAAAACATAACCAATAGCTGGGAATTTTTTCTGTTTTCATTTTTTAACTTCCAGCATAGAAAAAATCTGGTACATTGGCAAAAATGTTTAAGCACCATCAATTTCAAAACATTAATCTGTGATCCTTTTGTAGTATCTGTGTGGTATTGAAGAGGGATGGAAACAAACAAACAAACAAACAACAGTTTTTACTTGTCACCCAGAGTTGTGACTCTGCCCCTCCTTCACACATTTGTCTCGCCACTGAGTCACAGAACTCACAGCATTGTGTAACTTTCATTTCTGTGGGGGCTTGTTATATTAGAAAAATTGTTCCAAAGAAAGCAACAATTATGACATAAGCACATCTGGCTCTTGCAAATTATTCTTTATTAAGCTTTCATTTAATTACATGTGCTGAAAGGTCTGCTTTTGATTACTGTAATTTTTTTTATTTGTCCATCTGAATGATAGTAATGTTGGAAATTACATACAAACCACCTGTTTTTTTCTCACTAATAAGGCAAAGTTTATATAGGTCTATGGGTAGCAGAGGGATTGGAATCTTCCCTGTTTATGGTAGAAGAATTACTCATGATGCTAATTCAAGGTGAGGGTTTAAATTTGGTCCCTGGAAAGAAATTAAACTTATTTGATTTTGTTCAGTGGACACTTTTAGTGGTAGGAACTGTTTATTTTAATATACTTTCATTATGTTTCTTTTATTATGTTTGCATTGAACTTTTTGAAAAGTTCCACTAGAAAGTTTTTCTATTTTCATCACTATTTACAGGAATTTTTTAGGCCAAGATTCCTTATTAGCATTTATAGGAGTTATATCACTGTACACAGAGATGGAGAGATGGATACATATCCTGTTGCCTACTTTAACTTCCATTGCTGTCTAGAGAAGATGCAGCACTGCCTTTTGGTAGGAAACTGTTCCTATGTCAGCTCTCAGTAGAGGTTCTGGAGTGTGTGGGTCATTTCTGGGTAAGAACAGAAAGACCTGGAGTACTGTTTTTCTGACTGTTTTTTACCTCCATTTTATAAACAGCCTTACAATATTATCAATTTTGTGTTTAATATTCAGGCACAGTGTAACTTTTTGCTCAATACCATGACCATCATTAGCAAGAAAGAAAAAAAGAAATCAAGAAAAGTCAGCAAAAGTCAAATTAAGAAAAAAGATATTGGTGTTTGAGTGTTTTCTAGCTTTTTTCCCCCCCTTTTTGCAAATAGCAAGAAGGGAAAAGCCACAAACAAGAGCTAAAAAAGATCTATAATTCCTTTAAGAGAAGAAACACCAGAGGAAAAAAAATTATGTACATTTACAGCTTCTTTTTTTAGGAGTTTTTGCAGGAATATATGTATATCTTCTTGTCTTCCAGCAACTGTATGCAGCTCAGCTGGCAAGCATGCAAGTTTCTCCTGGAGCCAAAATGCCATCTACTCCACAGCCACCAAATACGACAGGGGCACTTTCACCCACTGGGATGAAAAATGAGAAGAGAGGGACCAGCCCGGTAACTCAAGTTAAGGTACTTTTCAGTAAAGAAAATAGTCGGTGTTTGAAAAGGACAGTGAAATCAAATGGTCTTTTTAATTGTTTAACAGTTGGAAACTGAACCACATTACAGTTCTTCAATATTCAAATAGGACAGTTCAGTTTCAGTGCTGTATTATCTGTATAGAGAAGGGAAGAGAAAGCATTCACTTCTTGTTTCCAGAAATACTAGGCGTCCCTCTTCCTACCATAGGCAGCATAACAGATTCATCAGTAAAATGTGATATTTTCAAGATTTCAGTTTGTAATCTAGTAATGTGCATAAATGGCATCCATTTCATGAGTTGTTTCACGCTGAACTCGTGAGTATCTTAAAATGTGGTGCTAGCTTATATGGTTAGGGTAAGAGAGAGACCGCAGGACTTCTAATTATTTTACAAATCTCTATCTGTACTTAATTCTGCAATTTTGGAAAAGCCTCACATAAAAATAACATGTAAGTCAGGACTCCGGGGAAAATGTTGTGTTGCTGCAGATTGATTTGACTTTTGCTGATTTCACACAGCTGCTGACAACCGGGCTGCTCCTTGTTGGTTTTGAGCCATTGCTGAATGCTTGTGCCTGCTTATTCTCACTTCCTTGGAACCAGGCAGCTACAACATGGCATTTGCCAGCAGCCTGAAATTAAAATCGTGTGCCCCGCGAAGTCTGCGGTACCGCCAGTACCTTTGGGTGGGACTGGCTGACTTCTATTGTTGTGCTCTCCTGTGGTTGTTCAGAATTTCATGAGACCAGAATTCAGAAACAATTTACTTCAAACTCTAAAGAAACATCAACGTTGACATGTTTTACCAATTTTAATGATGGCACTGTAAGTGCAGAACTATTAAAATGAATCTAGAGATGGCATATAGTGACTTTGTGGGTAGAGAGAGGGAATACCTTTTTTTTTTTTGCTGGCTGCTAACACCTTACAGGCACTTGGTCCTTAGCCTCAAAACACCCTGGGAAGATTTTACTCACTTAAGGTGAGGGTTTCTTCTTCTTCTTTTTTTTTTTTTTTCCCTTCACTTTTTGACATGAGAGTAAAATATCATTTGTTTTTTCATTATCATCAATCATTGTGGTAAAGTGTGGCTGAGTAGATATTTCTGCCTGGACTGATAAATTTCCATGACACTTTTTTGCTAGGCTGAGAGTACTAATAAATAAAAACTATTCCATTATGGCCAGATCTAACATTTATTTAGCAAAGCATTCACTTTACTTAGCTGTGGATGTGTATTAGTCTAATATTTTACCTCTTGTAATCCAATGCCAGGCTTGAGAGCAGTCAGGGAAATTTACCACATATGCAGAGATTGTTACGGTCAATACAGAAGCCACCAAAAGCAAAGCCTAACTGTTTCAGCAAAGTTGCCATAGTATAGTGATACCTAACACCAGTGATTTATGGTATTGAGAATATACTACTGACTACTTTAATGTGAAAAAGTAATTTTGTAAGTGAGTGAGCCAAATGGATCTACACCAAACCAAACCTTTACTATATGAGTAAAGTTTTCCCTGGTTAAATTCAAGCACATATCTTCTTGAACCAAGGCCAATACCATTCCAGTTTTGTGGCCAGCTGAGTCCTACTACAAAATTGACCACATGTAAATTCTTGGGGGTTTCCCTGCAAAATGTAACTTGAAAGAACTGAAGTATACATTAATAGAAACGAAACCTTTTTATTATTATTTTTATTAAGCACAATATTTCATTGAAAATATTAAAGATAAAGTACAAGTGCCTTGTGTGAAAAAATACAAATGGCTAATGAAAAAATTATTAGCAGAAAAGCAGTACCTATATATTCAGTCATTGCAAATTGTTACCTTTGTTAGACATGGCAGTTTTGGTGGTCATGCATTGCTTAACAAACCCTCTATATTTTCTCTGTTTTTAAGCAGTTGTTTCTATAAACTACATGCATTATTTGTAGAACTAATGCAATACTTTTACAGAAGTCAGGTATTTCAAAAAGTAATGATAGGTTTTTCTTAAGTCAGTGACCAGCTTTTCAGAAATGGGAATGCTGTAGCACAAACAAACAGATTCTGGCAGTGTTTAGAGCTTTTGCCTGATTGTACCAGTACTAGATGGAAAATTATTTAAAAATTGAACACTGTAGCATAGGTTTGTATGCACGCATGTTCATAGTACTTAGTCTGGCAAACTTCATAGTCTGAATGGGGCTCTGAACTCTTAGAGAAATGTATTGAAGCCACTTTACATCTGTGCAAGGAAACAGCTCACATGTAAATGTGGCCACAAAACACAAGAATGGACTATGGCCCTTGTACTTTTGGGTTTTTGCTCTCACTTGGACTCCAAACAGATGTGGACATTTGTGCACACTGCAAGGTCAGGAAGAATTAAAACATTTTGCAGTTTTATGTGAAAAGTTTAAAACTGGAGATATGATGACATTATAAATACCTGTTTGTTACATTTTCCTGTTTAATATATTGTGGATGACCAGATGTACTTTGCTAAATGACTGCTTGACAGTAAGGAGAATGGGAAAGATGAGATAACGTGGTGTATTATTGTATTTTGACATAATTCTAAGCTTTGAAGTGATCAGTGCAGTGTTTTAAAATATGGACGATATTCTCTTATATCCAGCATAATTCTGCTCTGGGCGTAATTTAAATGAGAGATCTGTCTTGCTGGGCTCTTTGACTACAGGAAATCACTGTTTCACAGGGTTTTTTTTTCTGTCTTGCTTAACGTATTAAGCAGAAGGAACAAGCTCAAAGAATGGGAGGAAGGTTGCATTGTGAATGTCTATACCGATCAAAGAAATTTATTACTTGAGTAAGTCTTCTTCCAAAAGTCAAGATTTTTTTTAGATAGACCTATTGTCCTACAGCACACAAGCAAGGTATATGTCAGAGAATATTTCTTCCACAATTGCATATGAAAAGTATCAACAGATATAAAGGTGCTGATACTAGATTTACATACCCTTAAAAAATATTCTTTGTCTTTATGCAAATAAAACATACAAATACAGTAAATGTTGAATGCAGCAGAAATAACTACAGAATGCAGAAATAAAATGGAAGTATCAAACAAGAAGCAGCATAGCACTTATGTGGAAAATATTCTTGGTTTTACATAAATCTATCAAGAGACATGACATTTATATAGAAAATATTGTAAAATATACAAAATTAAATAGTAGAAAATAAAATATATTTTGAAATGCATATATTATGCAGTCATTACCCTAGTAAGTAAAGGAGTTTGAATTCAGTGAAACTCTTATCTTTTATTACGAGGGGAAAGCATAGATTATTTTACTAAACAAAACATGCACACAGAATAAGATGCATGGAATGTATAAGTTAGCAGCAGCGCTAAATGTGGGCCAAAGAACTGTCAGGGTTTCCAAATGATTCTTTCACAGAAGTACTTCTGATTTCTTAGTTTCTAATACATTTAAAAATAAGCTACATAACTTATTTTTATAGTGCCAGGAACTTTTCAAATAGAACCATACGAAAGCATTACTGAGCTGCTGGAAATTTTAAATAATTCTTTGTAAATGCCCTAGGTTAATTTAGATCTCTGAAAACACATTAGGAAATTAAGCTGTAATGTGAGCTAATTCAAATTTTAATTTGGCAAAAAGAATGATCCAGCCACATAGTTAATGTAAATAAGAAGCATAACACAGAAAAATTAATGAGGTTTCCTTTAGTTGAATCTTAAAGGAGGCAGATAATTAGCTTCTTTTGTTATTATTGCTGGAGAAAGTGGCATTGTCTTCGAGGTGTAAAGTAACTGCTGCTTGCAAAATGATGTGTTCATTTGTCTTTTCCTAATAATTATTTACATTAAACTCTTGCAGGATGAAGCAGCTCAGCCACTGAATCTTTCAGCCCGACCCAAAACAGCTGAACCTGTCAAATCCCCAACATCTCCAACACAGAATCTCTTCCCAGCTAGCAAAAGCAGTCCTGTGACAGTGACGAACAAGAGTGGCATCCCCAGCCCGCTCAGTGGATCTCTGGGAAGAGGATCCTCTTTAGGTAACTAATCTGTCCTGGGGAAAGGAGAAAATAGGCAAGTTTTCTGCATGAAATCTCAGCCTGAACATACTTGTGGATACTCGGGCCTACATTTCTGTTCAAAATGGAAATTAAAAAAAATTACGGTAAAGATTTTCAAAGAACACTTGAATGCCAAAGTTTTGCAAGAGTACTTAAAATGATGTGGCAGTGATATTCATCTTCAAGAAATACAACAAATAAATAGATAACCTAAGAAATAAACATATATGCATGTAGATAAATAGGTATGCATACACAAAACTTGTAAAAGAGGTTTTTATGAATATCTTTCCTGAAGACATCTACTGGGTGTATCCAGGCAAAGTTAACTTTTGAATTTTGACCTCTGGATTAAAGAAACAAAAAATTATCTTTGCACACACAGGGAGCCTCGCTAGATACTAATTTTTTTTTTTTTTTAAACAAAGACCGAAGGGCTTCAGTCTAGCCAGTTTATATTATTATTTGTTCATGTTTTTTTCCTTGTTCGCCCATCTGTCAAGATTTTGTTAATTCATGTGGTTACAAGTAGGAATTTTTTTACCTGATTTCAAGATTCTTTAAGCCTATTAAGTTCTGAAACAAAATTGGTTTGAAAACTACGTATGAAGACTACCTTAGCCAGTCACGAAACAGAATCAAGAGCTGCAAAATGTGGATGATCAGCCCTAAAGTTCAAATAGTACATTTTAACAGTGACTAAATACTTACTACAGACCACTTATTCACAAGCTGTATCTCAAGTGTACTTGTAAAATATATGGAAACACTTGTGAATAATGAACTGATACATTAAATACATATATTAAATATATAAAAATTATGGGCTTTTTTCCATTCCCAAACACTTGGGAACATCATGGTCTCTGAAAGATACTTTCTGCGATTGCCTAGATATTCTACCTGTCAATTTATTTGCAACTATCACTGCACTATCTAACATTAGAAAGTGGCAGATCAGTTTGAAGTCATAGACCATTCCAGAGAAATTACTGCCTAACATAGATAGTGCCTAAGGTGTAAATATTTTTCATGTGAAGTCATAAAAACTTTTTTGTCTCATTTCTTTAGCATAAAAGAAGAGAGGGAAACGTTGTCAAAAATCAGCAAGCAACACAGAAGTTTTTGCTACCTCTTTACTATACATTTAGATGACTGGGAGTCCAAGTTTCTGTAAAAGTCATGAAAATATGGCTCCTAGCTTCCTTAGGGTCCAGAATGGAACTTAGTTGCTGACACAGTTCAGAGCATTGGAAATTTTACTCAGAAAGAGCAATGGCTGTTCTCTAACACGTTTTTATTTTGAAGAGGGGTGTTTCATTCAGACAGAAAATGCCACACTTCCCTCTCAAACATCCCAATTTGCATCTCTTCTTAGGTAGGTCCCAGTATTAAATTAACTATTTGTTCCCAGGATAAAGAGTGAAAAATCCTTAATCTTGATGATTTTTATTTTAAAAAAGTTCAGGGTTCTTCAAGGTTGAATTTACTGTATTTTACTGAACTGAACTTCAATAAAATCCAAAGGGTAGGAAAATTATCTTTGAAGGAGAATTCCAAATCTTAGCCTTAGCCTGTTTGGTTTTTTTTTTTTTTGTTTTTGGTGATCATTTTGGGTTTCTTTTTTGGCATTTTTCTTATTTTTAATTTTTAATAGTGGACTGTCAGAAAGTACACAAGTTTAACAAATTCGGAGCTTTTACAAAAGACATTTGCTTGTCAGGCAGATGCACAGGTCACACATAAACTTTGACTGATCAAAATTTCCTAGCTAGAATATATATGCACGAATCTATTCATGTGTGATATAGAGAATACTTCCATGTAGGAACAGGTGGATTACAGTTTCATCACAGCAACAAAAAACAGTCACAAAATAATGGCTATTTTGTGGTCTCAAATCAGAAACAGTTTCTGGGATACTCCATTCATGCATTTTAAGATATAACAGGAATGTTTGCATGACTTTGATGCAAGTTTAAAAGTTTCTTTCTGTTCAGAGTGATAGAAAGAAAACTAGTTTTTCTCTATTGATTTCTCTACTGATTCTGTACATGTACTCATGCTATGGTCATTGACTTTGTCCCCAAAAAGTAACTGTGAGTGCCCTTTCTGAAATGGAAAGCTAAATGTCTGGGCCGATGGTTCTGACCCAGAAAGAAATTCTTTGAATTGACATAGATTTTGTAGCCAACTAAATGATATTGCTTTCTCCTTTGTTCATTTTATTAATCATATTTAGTACCTCAGAGGCTTCCAGTTTTAGGTTAATAAGACTGTTGTCTTAAACACATATTTAACTTTGAGTTCATGAGTATGCTCAGACACCTCCATATCAGGCTATACCAAGACTTCAGTAGTTGTATTTCTAACAACAAAAGAAGTGGCTTATCAATCACTTCTGTAGAGTAATTCAGATTTCAAAAAGACAACAATTGACACTCCTACTCCTTCTGCGGATATTAGTTTTGTGCAGCTCTAAGAGAGCTGAGTTCTTACCCAAGATTTCAATTTGGATAATTACCTAAATAAAATGTGTTCTCTGTTTATAGATATCCTTTCCAGTCTTAATTCACCTGCCCTATTTGGGGACCAGGACACAGTAATGAAAGCCATTCAGGAGGCTCGAAAAATGAGAGAGCAAATCCAAAGGGAACAGCAGCAGCAACAGCAGCCTCATGGTGTTGATGGAAAATTGCCCTCCATGAATAACATGGGTCTAAACAACTGCAGGAATGAAAAGGTAATGTCTCCCATTTCCTCACTCTCTGTCACTCTCTTCTCTTCTCTGTAAATAGCTTCTTATTGTTATATGAAATTTCTTTTTAGAGCTTTTAGGCATCTCTGATTTCATGTTAAATACACCTTGTCACTTCACAGTGCTGTGCTACAAACTTCTCGTCGTTTACATGACACCATTCAAAACCACAGTCCTGTGCACTCGTGTGATTAAGCTGTAAGCAGGCATATAGCAACATGGGAAGTAAATTTGTTGGAGATACCATTGTTCCTGGTCACTAGATTTTGAATTTTGTATTTTAGAATGATTGGATTGATAAATATGGCCAAAAGGCCAGTTATGTGCTAGCATGGTTGAGTATTGCAATGCTATTTTATGTATCTGAGTGTGCTTGAATCTATGATTCAGATGCAACAAAGTATTTAGGCTCAAAACAGTACATTTGGCTCTCAGTTGTAATGGGAAATTAGAGATCAAAATTCGTTGCTGAATCCCGGCTGTGGTTTCCAAACACTGAAATGGCACAGTACAATAAAAGGGTAAATTAGATAAAGTGTTGAGCAAATGGGACCAGTGTTGGACTGAACAGGACGTGATTCGGTTTACAAAGTAGAAAGCTGAGATGATATCCGAAAGGTGAGGAACAGTTTCTATCACACCTGCTTTAAGGATGACTCCCAGAACAAAGAAGACTCTTGGAAAATTCTTTGTACCTATGTTGTCCTGTTCTGTGGCCTTTCCAAGGGCTTCAAGGTCTGTTGCATCATCAGGTCTCTGTATGTATCCTACAGCAAGTGAACAGTGAATCGGGTAATTGGCTGAGCTATAAGGCAGCCCTTAGGATGAAGAATGCTCCTCTGTTAGCTTCTCTAGAGCTGGATTATGCTGCAAAAAATGCAGCACACAAGTTAATTTTCACCATTGACACAAAATCAGTTACAGGCCACAGTACTTATTCTAGTTAACTTGAGAGGGAAAAACATTATCCTGGTAATCAGTAAGGCATTGGCAAATAGAAACAGTTAGGATGCAATTTAGTATTGAATAGAAAGAAAACTGACACTATTAGCCTATAAAACAACTACTCTTTCAGACTATTTGCTAAAAAAGCAAAAAACAACATGTAGTTTTAATGCCTATAAATATTCTGTTCATGTGTATATACATATATATAGTAGATGGTGGGTTCTTTGTTGGGAGGGAACATTATATTATAGTGCAAAGACTAACAGGAGTTTTTAGTTCAGGTGGAGTATAAGACTCACAGAGTATTAACTATAACTTAAACCATGAATTTGATGAGACTATGATCTTTTCTCAACCCACAGGGGAATTCTTGGTGAGTAAGTGGGTTGTAACAGGACACAGAAGGGTAAAGAAATGTCATTAACAGACACAATCTTTACTGCTTTTAATCTACATTTTATATTTTTGCTTGATAGTTTTTTTACAGCACTCAAAACAAAAGAAAGGCTTAGTGTCCATTAAAAAGATTTGTTAAACTGTTGTCACGTTGGATAAACAATGCTTTTCCAAATCAAATTCAGAGTCTAATAAATATTTCTGCTAGTATTAGTTTAAATGTCATAACTGGAAAACTTAATACAGGTTGATACTGAGAAAAAATATAGAAATTAATAATTGATGAAGCAGGCCATATTCAGACAACAGTCTAATTGTAAAGTCAGTGTTTGTCTTAACTAATCAAGAGACAGGATACTAAAGCCCAAGTTATAAAAATAAAATAAATGTCACAGATATGATCAGTATTAAGAGTTTATAAAATTATGCTTATTTTAAAATATATTTTATGAGTTTCAGTGGCTTGACATTTAAAAATATCTAATATGCTATAAGGGCTATTAAAAGAATTCTTAACATTTGATTTGACTTTGAAAAATAACTATAAAAATGGCATCCACTTACTTATTGAGTCTGTTCCTTGAGTATTTTCAGTATCATGTTTATGTCTTGTATTTGACATAACAAGTTTCTATTTAATCTTTCACCTTTTAAAGTAGAGTCAGTAAATATTTCAGTGAATAATCTGAAATTTCTATTTTTTGCTGGTTACTTGCAAAGGACAGATTGATGCAGAGCTTCCAGGTTGAGGTTATACATCAGGCAGTCTGAGGAAAAAATTTTTTTTACTTGCAAATATGGCAGAGTGAATTGGAATTCTTTAACAAACAACATCATTCTCAAATGCCATTTTTTATAAGGAGACTTTTCATGCTACCACTTGCAACTTTTAAAACCTAAGAATAAAACCGCAGCAAGAAATCTGTTAAGTCTCTCAGTGACTTTATGTAATCCTACTGGGCTTATTTATTGTAGCAGGTACTATAGAATCATTAAGGCAGGAAGACGTTGGTGTGCTTGTCCTTTATCTTCTCTCCATAGATGCAAGAGGTCGGGTTTACAAAAGAACAGGATACAAATTAGTAATTTTAAATTATGATATATCCCCACTCTCACGCTAAAGAAAATAAAACTATTAATTCAGTCATGAATACTAAGGAAATGCATTTATATTTTATAGGAAGTATAAAATACATTAAAACCAGAAGCATCATTTGCATGAACAGAATTCTAGAAAACTCTTCCTTCCCACTTCCCCCTCTGCCTTTCAATTTTTACGTTACGATACATTACTTTTACTCTAAAAATGATGGGCAAGATGATCAAAATGGAGGGGGGGGAGGAGGAATGCTGGATCACTTCAATTAGAAAAACATAGTTTTGAAATAATTGTATGCCAAGAAGGCTGTGTACAGTTTCTGTCATAATCCCAGTGAAGCTTTGATAGCATAGTTGCAATTTTGGATTGGTTTCTTTTGAAGAATCAGAACCCCATGTTTTCAGGACCAAACTTAAAAAATTGGCTTCAGGTAATTAGACTTGTAGAAATGAGGAGCTGGAAGCTGGCACCAGAAAAAGATGACAAATTAATTGCCTGCAGCTGGTTTAAAAAAAGCTATTGAGTTCTGGTCAGTTACTGGTCTTCAAGTTCAGATAGTTGGTAATAGTTTGTTGTGCAAATGATTGCGCTCACAAAATTATGTACATAACTTCAAAGCCTGGGCTTAGGCCTTTTTGAAAAAGTGTCATTTAAATCTCAGAAAGCTTTGTATTTGGTTACAGACACAGAATTGAAAATTGCCTCTGTTCATATTCTGCTGTTCAAAAAAAAAAAAAAAAATCTTCTACAAAGCTTTAAAAGCGCTCACAGAGATTCATTCATCAGAAAGACCAAAACAAAAACATGAAGCACTCTGGCACAGCCCAACTTTGTCATTTGCTAAAGCATGAAGGTTAGTTCTACACTTTTGAGATAGTACCATTCTGAGGAGTAATTTCAGCTTGTGTGCTGTTGTGAGTTAAGGTAGGCAGGTAAGCACCATGCAGCTACTCACTCACTCCCCTCCAGTGCGATGGGGAAGAGAATCAGTAAGGTAAAAGTGAAAAAATTTGTGGATTGATTAGTATAGTTTATAAGTGTAGAAAAAGCTGTGCATGTAAGCAAAGTAAAACAAAGAATTAATTGACTACTTCCCGTTGCCAGGCAGATGTTTAGCCATTTCCAGGAAAGCAGACCTCCAGCACCTGTGCTTTACACGGGAAGGCAAATGCCAAAACTCCAAATGTTTCCCCTTCCTTCTCCTTCCCCCAGATTTTATTGCTGATAATGGTTTCATATGGTGTGGAATATCTCTTTGGTCAGTCGGACTCAGCTGGTCTGTCTGCGTCGCCTCTCACTGCTTTGTGCATTCCCAGCCTTCTCCCTGGCAGATTAGTGTAAAAACCAAAAAAGGCCTTGCTGTAGAAGCACAGTTCAGCTATAGCTAAACCATCCCGTGAGTTACCAGCTGCTTTGTTCACAAATCCAAAACTCAGCGCCATGTGATCTAAATTTGACTCTATCTGAGCCTAAACCAGTGCAGTGCACATGAGGCAAAAACCATCACTATAACAGAGTTGACTTTTTCTACTCCGCCTGAGATCCTACTCCTTTTGTATACAAAGCATGAAAACACTAACAAATATACTTTTGACAAAGATACTTAATGATCACAACGAATTTGCTAGACCCAAGGATGTATCCCCACCTCTGCATTTACTTAGCATGAAGCTTATTCAAGATCTGAGAAGAAGCAGAATTTAATATATCATTTTTATGTTTACATTCCATTCCTACTCTTTTGTAGATTTTCTGACAACTGTGTATTTACAGTAGGAAAGCAGAACTAGACCCCAAAATAAATGACATGAGTCATTGCCTACTTCCTGGGAATTATGGTACTTTAGCACCTCTTCTAATGAGCCTTTTATTCCTTTCTTATTTCTAAATTAAAGTTTTACAAGTTGAATCCACGTAATTTATCCTAATGTAGTCCACAGTTTGTATGCAAAATGTGTACATTCTTAAAAATGTGTAGTATTTACCCTTGGGGATGTTACAGTCTATTGATCAAATCCATATTTAGGCACTTAGATTTGACTTGATAAGCCATAACGACCCCTTTGGAGGTGTTATGGTCTGCTGTATTTAGGGACTGTTAAATATGTGGATTATTGAGACAGTAAAGTGTAACAACTCCTCTGGAGCTGTTCCACTTCATCATGTATATGAAGCTACTGCACATATGTACAAACTTGGCCTGATAAAAACACTTCAGGAAGTCTTTGTAGGAAAAGTCACTAGTCATGCATAATCTCCTTTGGCTGCCTACAGCTCTGCAATGGCTCCAGCATTATATTGTTTTTTTCTAAAGGCAAGTACTGGATTATGCTGCCACCAGTTTTTTACCAGCTTTTTGTCTCCCTATAGATTCAGAATTAGAGACAGAACAACTGCAGTGGCAGGAGTCACACTGTGTGTTCTGCCTGTGCAGGGTATTTCTCAGACAATCACAAAGAGAATCACCTTGTTATAAGTATCCATTTTATTAGTAATTTCTCAACTCAGTTAAAAAAACCCCAAAGACATAGTTAAGAAAATA